AAGTCTACTGAAGTAGGTTAAGTAGCATTTAGCGCACCCAATGAGCTCCGTTGCAATAACGCTTGAGTTTGTAGTTAAACAGACGCAAATTGTATCCCTCTATTCATTCTCAACAGCAACGTCGGTCTTACCAAATGTTGCGGTTAAATTCGGTGCAGTTCCTGAAGTTTATCAGATGGGATTGCGCAAAATCTGATGGATTTGGGTGGTAAGTGACAAAATTCCCCTTACCTCTATCAACTCCGTATGGTAGAAGCGTGAATTTATTCAAAATTTGCCAAAAAATCATTCGATCAAACGTCAGCTAATAAGTCATATCCAAATCTCAATCGGTTCCTTCTTTTTTAGTCACGGATTTCAGGGGGAGAGAAACGGGTACGGGTCAGAAGGAATTTCTGTAGCAATAATTTAACGAATTCTGGCACTCAAATTAATTCGCCCTTTTAACACCGGTGTACTCGAAGGGTTGGAAATAAACATGAGTGTGAGACAGCCAATCAGAAAGACGGCGTGGTACACTCACCTGCCCAGATAGAGCGCAACACAGAGCAATCACAATCGCTTAAAATGCTGTCACCTGCCGTGGACCTTATTTTTTTCCTACTGTGCTCCTTTCCATCCACAGGTATGAATATTCATTTCGAATCCTTAAAAACATTCATGACTATGCTATAAGCAGAATGAGAGGTTTTTCGATGAGCAAATTTGATAATCCGCTTTGCGGTTTTACAAAGAGCTATGCTATATACGGAAAGGGGGCTTTTGGTATTAAAGTAATTTGGTCATATCTGCTGGGGGAGATTGTGAGGAGAACGTAGGCGGTAAGGCCAGCAACTTTTCAGGAGTTGGTGCCGTTTCATTGAAACTTGTAGCATAATTCCCTCATGTAAGAATAATTGCTTAGTTCCTTTGAGAAGGAAACAAATAAGCCTGAGTAAATGCAAACAATGTCCACTTTTTTCTCTAAAAATCAAATTTTACAGACGCGACAAACATTTTAAGAGGTTATTTGCATGGGTGTCAAACACTATTTTCCCGCTTTTGGTTGAAGATAAATACTTTACATTTAGGCGACTTAAACTTTGTTTGAATGAGATAAAGGCGAAGGTTCACCGCCGGCAGAAGGCTTGAAGACAGCATTGTTATAAAAATTCTAGATCATTTTAGGCTAGAGTACCTCAGTTTTAGTGTCGACCAAAACCTCACATTTTTCCAACATAGTCTTTGTGACTTAGCCAACATGGATTCCGGATGCGAAAGCACTTACTGAAGAGATAGAACCACAATCTTTACTTAATTCGGCCAAAAAATTAGAACATTGTGACCATTTCTTAAGACTGTCGGTAGTTTATTGTGTTGGAAAACCCCTCTAAGTTGCCAGATTGTCAGCACGGACTGTTAAGTAAATGAATGAACGGATTCAGATCAGCTGACTTTACTTTGGCCGGTGGGAAGATTGGTGCTTGCATCTTTCTTAAGGTGGTGTCACAACAGAACGGAAGTTGTACGACCAGTTACTGGCTCCACAACGGTATAACAAATTGATTCGACCTGAGACACCGTCGGAAGCTCCAACTGTCGTCCACCTCGGACTTCGACTCTCTCAATTCATTAATGTGGTAAAAACTGACTCCATTTTAATCGACCTGGGACAGAGGAAAGGGTATTTTGAGGGAGGAATTGTGAGTTAGATAAATGATACACTCTGAGCAGGTAAACAGGTCCCAAAACCGTGATTTGTCACTTCTGCTTGAAAAATCCCAAACATCCGGAATATTGGGATTAGGTGCTCTGTCATCATGCTTGGTGTGTCAGCGGTTGTACGCATAAACTCGGTTACTCAACCCGAATGTGTAGTTCAAAGTTAGCTATGATTTCGCATTCTAAAGAAAACTATAAGCTCCTTTATTGCCCCGGTTTTTTGCGCGAATCAGCCATTCAATTATTTATTAGACCTTCAAAAAAGACTTCACAGGAAGCGATTTAAAGAGGTTGCAAATGGAACCTGTGAGTTAATCGGTTGAAGACGAAATAATTGCTAGACTGTGGTCACTTAAGTAATTGCCTTGAGAGTTGGGGACGGTTAGTGCAATTCATTTAGAATTTAAAGAAAAATGTGACAACATCATTTCGCACGTATGCAACTTTAAAGAAGAGTTTCAATGATGGTTTAGGATCTGCTACTCCTCTAACTAACCAACTACTTAAGTCGAATTTTCGGTGTGCATATACACATTGAAAAAGAAATATTTTATCTAGGACGAACAGAAGGAGGTGATACAAACGCAGGTGTGGTTAGAGCAGGAATGGCAAGATGTCCACTTGTTGTGGGATCCCGCTTGTTTCGGCGGTGTTGAGTCGATCCACGTACCTGCGGAGGACCTCTGGAGACCTGATATTGTGCTTTACAACAAGTAAGGCTTCACTGCTCCTTTAAAGGTTTGCTCGCTTGTTGTTTTACTTATCGTCTAAGGTCAAACTTCATTCAGCAAACCAAATCTAGGAACCAACATAGTTCCCAAGCCTTTTAATCTGCTTTTCCGCACACATCATTGTAATCGTTTTACACATGTGTTGTCTTAGGACACTATGCCATTATTTAAAACACCGACTTTGGCCATAAGTGAGCACATTGTAGCGAATATGATGGCCCTGTGCCCGATTTTTAGCGTTGACGGTAAGTACGAAATAACGACGCTGACGCGGGCGGAGGTCTTCTTCAATGGGACGGTGCGATGGATGCCACCCGCACTCTATTTGAGTGCCTGTCGCATCGACATGGAGTACTTCCCCTACGACGAACAGACCTGCTCCATGCGGTTCGGCTCGTGGACATACGATGGCAGTAAAGGCAAGTTTCAACACACTGGTTTTTTCTCATAAAAACTGATACTTGATAGACGGCCACCACCGAAAGGCTGCATCAATTTCAATCCGTCAGTAGATTAAAGTGTTGATATCCTCAGATGTCAATAATGATTAGTCTCTCTACATAGTGCTTTACCCCATTTCCTTCCTCAAAAAAATTGATGCTTAAATGTCTTACCACAGAACAACTGAGCGTCCTGTCATCGTACAGTACTGTGTTTGAAGTTCCATCACTCCACGCGTTTCCCTATTGACGTGCTGTCACTTGCCTTCCATCTTGATTAATGTTGCATACGAAATTTGTGCCGACTGTCAGTAAAAACTCGATGTTTGACACCGAATTTATTATCGCTACTGTGCTAGGTCTTCGTAGACATGATTATAAAGTGGAAATCTTTGAGTTGAATTGAATAAATACCGACCTCTAAATCCTCTATCTACTACCGAGCAGTGGATCTTCGCCATCACCTGCAAAAGTACGCACCGGAGCTATCGCGACCCCTCTACATAGACTACGCGGCAGACCTGCACGACTTCGGTAGTACCATTGAGTACGACGTGATCTCAGTGTCCGCAGTGTGTTACGACCACATTTACCAACACTCCCCGCACCCCTACCCCGAGGTGGTATTCCAGTTTCGGATGCGTCGACGCACCGCTTTCCACACTTTTAATCTCCTCCTGCCCTGCGTGGCTATCGCAGTGCTCGCGGTGATGACCTTTCTGCTGCCACCGGAGTGCCGAGAGAAGATCTCCCTCTCCATTACCACCCTCCTAGCGCTTACTCTCTTCTTCCTTCTCATCTCGAAGATGGCACCACCAACGAGTTTGGCGGTACCGTTGATTGGCAAGTACCTCCTCTTCACCATCGCCCTTATCACTTCCTCTATCTTTCTCACCGTGGTCGTGCTCAACGTCCACTTCCGCTCCGCAGAGACACACCCAATGGGAAAGTGGATGAGGCGCATCTTTTTGGAGGTGATGCCGCCTCTTTTGGGCTTACAACCACCAAAACAGGTGTGTTTATCCGAAAATAAACATTTTAAGCATTCAAAAGGACTGAAAGTCTAGCAGCACAGAAGGTCTGGGGGTGATTTTACTTTACCAGCGAAGAAGTCGACTTCGCCATAATTTCTTGACCAATATCAGATGTTTTGATAATTTAGGGGTCGCAGGAGGAAATTCAGCCAAAGTACTGGGGCTTATGAAAGTTGGAGAGTGTGCATTACCTCTCATGAAATTACAAGAAATCACAAAAGTAACTTTTACTGCAATGCTAATAACATGCTTGGTATGACCAATGCTCAATGCTCTCTCGTTACAATTCGTCCTTTGAGCCAAAGCAAATCTCGGGACAGAAAAATAGGCTAAGTTTTAGAATTTGCTTTACAGGGGTTTGGAATTTGACGCAGCTCATGAAGGTCTGAGACCTCTAAGAGTTATGCAAAGAAGCTTTCGATGTTGGATAAAGTTCAACATCGAGAATTGTCCCTATGCTGATAACTTTTCTCAAAAGTTTTCCAAATTCATATTCATCTGATAAAATAGATGGATTTATGCGTCACCTCGGATTTGCATCCTGTCCTTTTTAAACATCTTTTTAACTGTGCTACTGCGAAGACGCTTACGCAGGTTGCTCTCAACCTCTTGTGAAGTGAGAGAGCATCGAACCTACAGATTATTATCAACATTCTCTACGTAAAACGTTATTTCTGACCTAGCTCCCCAAATGGGTTGTTTCCAAATGTTCCGATTGGAGTATCTCCAAAGGGATCGAGTTACTCTTAAAAGCCACCCTGTTGTGGGTTGCCGCAGATCCGCTCATTTGTATAACATGCCATCCTTCTATTAGATTTTGTCATTGTCTCTAGACTTTTCTTCGTTTGGAATGGGATCACCGACGCCACTGCCACGGTAGAGCTTGGTTTACTGACAATGACGTGGTGCGATTAAATAAATCTGTAAGGACAAATATCACTAGCCTACAGAAAGGATGGAATGGATGGCAACGTAAATGCTGCAATGTAAAATTCCGCAAAATCTTCTATCTTATTTTGCCACATCCTGATATTCATTCTGCTGGTGTTAAAAATTTAAATATAGGACATCCACCTTGGTGTAGCACCCCGAGACTTCCCTAAAAACGAAAAAAGTCATTATACCGAGGCAGATTATGTATACATATTTAACAGGCAGAAGGGATTGGGGCTACTAACATGGTAGATAAGCAAGCCCACTCGATGGCGGTCCAATGGCAGAACACCTAAGTGGCCCTTTTACAAAAATAAAGCTCGACTGTCCTCTTTTAAGTGTCGTCTGTGTCTCTCCCTTTGGTTCACTTCTCGCGTTAGCCATCACAAAATGACCGGTGCTGCAAGGAAAAATACCCATGAACCTCCCGCGCTAGTCATCAAATTTTCGTGCAACGGAGGTGATATTTTACCTCAACGTTACTGATTCCTCTTAGCAATTCAACTGGATCTAGAGTTTCGTCCTATATGAGAACTGGATTCGGGGACGGAGGAATGGGCCCGTCCTAACGCGTGTTTACAGCCAGTTGTAGAAAATACTGACCCAAAAGCAGATCCAACTAATAACAAATGAGATTTAACATAGTTCCATGGGGGTAGGGCTTTGCTTCTATTCCTCTTTGCCACGTTATTCTCACTGTAGAGGTGCCCATCCATATCTATCTGGATTCCATTCAGCTAGTAGGGAGGTGGAAGAGGTATCGTGGATTCAGATACCATAGACAGCTCCATCAGAAACTCTTCCAGACAGTCTACAGCCATAGCTAGTGCTGCTTCAGTTGTTAATAGCAATTCCTACATAACAGGAAATTGGGGTAGTTGCCGAAGGTAGACGGCATTATCAATATCTCTGTTAGGGGCCGTCACAGATTCTCCCACTCTCAGTGTGTGGACTTCTTCCGCTTCGCTTAGGTTTATCACAGCAGTAGAAGTCTGGATAGCAGCCCTTTAATGTTGGGTTTGTTTTTCGCTGCAACTGCTGTAGCGCCCCGGGTCTGCCCTAGAGACGAAAAAAGACGTAGTATATGAGCCGCCCAGGCTCTCAGGTAAAGGTACAGCGGTGGAGACCCAAGGCAGCCCCTTAACCAAAATCACGAGTTAATCGAACAACTAACGTATTAAATTGTTCAAAATAGGTAATCTACGCTTTTTTCCGTTTTCCTTGGCAAAGAAGAGTTGAGTTTTGTAATGATGCGTGAAGGAACCCGCTTTGAATCTCATGTAACTATGTGGTGATTCCAAAAACGTTGGCAAACAAGAATCGACATCCACCGACTGGGTTGCTTAAAAAAACAATCTGCAACAACCTAAAGTTGAAAATACTATTTTTACATTCCGTAGAATGGTTGACTATAAAATTGATCTTTTATTTCCACTAAAAGGTAATCGAGATAAAACTTATCTCCCAAAAACGAGGTAGGCCTAAACAGCTGCTAGGTGGTAGACCGGTGGTGAGAACTGCCAAAATTCTCACATAGAACCAAAAACTGACTTAATTTTAGTGTTAACATTAATTACACATTGCATGTCTACCTTACTTAGAAGAAGTGAGGCAAATGTTTGAGACAAATCATCCAAATGGTTCAATGGCACTCAGGTAAATTAGATTCCGCCATTAAGTGGACCTGACCATTGAAGCGTGGTAATTCAATCTCACAAGGCAACAATTGTTTCTTCGTGGCAGCGTGAACCTTTTTAATTAAATCAGGCACTCCTAAAACTCAGACTTTTTGGAAAATCGCATTACTTACCTTCTGAGGACTTAACTATTGCATTGAAGAAGGGGGCTGCTACCCACCGTCTGGCGGCGATTTCCGCGATGAAGACTTTGAAAAGCACTCCTTATATCGTAGGGGTTCGTGGTCTTCAAAGTCGTTTTTTTTGGGTAATGCGTAGGGTATCAGAGAACAATTCATGGACTACACGATAGAATGGATGTCATCTTGGGGATTTTATCTAGTTAGCTAGTGATTATTAGCATTAATAATAACCCACATTCATGAAAGTGAGATTTCAATGCTAAAACGGGCGATTCTTTAAATAGTTGCCTATGGTTTAATTTTTTCCGTCTTTACTGTTTTTCAGGCAAAAAGAGCAATGAAGCAGACGATGCTTGAGATTGTGAGCAATAAGCGGGCTATCGAGAAGAAGAGCAATCCGCGGTGCAGTGAATGTAAACTGCGAGATCACTGGGACTCCAACCGCAAGGGAACGCCTGATCCTCTGGTTTGTCAAATCAGTCGTCAGCTTATGGAGTGTTGCAGCGATGAGGCACAAATTCGTCTGCAGAGAAAACTCCATCAGGTGGCTGAGGGGTCAAGGTTCATTGAGCAACGACTGCACGTCAATAAGCGCGAGAACGACGTGAGTTGTACCGAGTCGTCTTGCGACAGAAGCCGATTTGCAGCTCTGAAGCAAATCTCAACCCTGACTAGGTAGAAATAGTCTTCTTACATTCTCAAAATGGATGTTTGAAACGTCAACAGCTGGTACTCTTTGTTGTTTTGAAGGTCACTCCTTCTCCTATTTCAATTTCCTTTCTTAAGTTTACAGCTTGCCCTTAATAACAAAGAGGGAATCAACGACAGCCAAAGACGTTGATTTAAAGTCTACGTGAGTGATGTCTACCAAAAAACCCTACCTTGACCCGAAAATGGGGCTATTTTTGACCAGGGATGAAACCTGCAACAATCGGAAAAGTGTTTCAGCTATTTAGACAAATTTCAGAGATTTTGTGATCACTTACATATCAGAAGAGACATTTACAAGGCACGTTTGAAAAGTATCCACACTGCACGTGTGATGGAAAATGTTACATTGTGGTTTAACTGGGTGTGGCATGGAACTAACCACACCTGACAAGTCAGCTGCTCCTTAGTCTTGGTATGACATATTATTCGAAGGCAAAAGTTTCAAACTCTGTACTCCAGAGAAGCGGTCTTCCCTCATGCTCATGTTCGTGGGTCAAAGATGTAGTAGAAGCACATTTTCTATCTCCCCATGCGTGTGTTCAGCATGGCGACAAAGGTTCCTCGTTTGGCCGTCTGTAAGAGAACTAAAAGGTTCGACTAGTCCGACTATTGTCACAGATCCGAAGAATGGTGGGAAGTCTTCAAAATTTATTCAGAAATACGAGAAAGGCAAAAATATGGCAAATGTGAAAACTGATTTATTTGAGATCTGATTCGTCGGATTGATACAATGTTAGGAGATTGCTTCGCAAAAGAAGGCTTTTACGTGGGAAGTTGCTGTATTTTGTCTCAAAACAACTCAGATTGAAGAGGAAGAATTAACACTTTGACAAATCTTAAGTGCAGTAATTTTGTGGACCTCTTCGATCACTGATGTGGCCCTCACTTTTGTGGGCAGGGTATGGAGCTTGTGGTGCGGACTTTGGATTTAGGATGCATTGCGATCAATTCAAGGTCCATTTGAACCTTTTCAACTCACATTTCTTGATAGTAAATAAATTGTATACGAAGTTATGACAAACAGATCCCCATTTATAAAAGCAGGAGTTATTACAAATGCTGGCAACGCCCTTTGTGAACCACGGTTACAAGTGACGCAGATGCCACTAATCAGTTTTGACAGGCCCTTCGCTTGAAAACAGTTTCATTATTTTAAAGGGATTATGCAAAAAGTAAGGCACTTAAATTTAATTCCACTCAATTATGTTTGATTCAACATTGAAAACGATGCCATTAGAATGGGAACAATACACTGTTACTGTTTGAAGCTGATTCTGAATCCTCAAGTCGAGCTCTAGGTACCTCTAAAAGACCCCCCAGCTAAAATTTTCTGCACCATTTGTGAAGAAATACAACTTCTCTTTTCTCATACTCAGATCAAGGAGGAATGGCAGTTCGTAGCGCTTGTAATGGACCGACTATCTCTATGGTTATTCAGTGTTGTGAGTATAATATGTAAGTGGTTACGGTTCTTTCGACTCTCAACTGGTTATAACTCATATTTTTTTATGTCCCGAAACTCATTGTAGGCACCTTCAGCATAACACTGCAGTCACCCGCTCTGTGGGATACAGCCAAGCCTCTCACTCCGTCCACTCTCCCAATGTTGGCCAACCTCACCTCCTTCAACGATCCAGAGATGCGCTTCCCCAATCGCACCATCCATATTATTCTCCCCAGACACTGACCAGTCACGGTCTTTGCGGCTTCGCTTCTATCGGACTTACTTCTAGCCTTCCTGTTCTTCTTTACGACCGATATTATGTAATTGACAAAATTTTGTGATTTGATAAAATATTGAGGAGTAATCCGAATGATAAATACCGTCTCTTGTTTATTTACATGGAATACAAGAAATAGGAGTAAGCAGAGATAATGGGACAGAAAACACCACTCGAAACCTGGTTATGATGGTCAGGTGAAATTATTTGCATAGGAAATTATAAGATTGGCCATGTTCCGCTAGTCCCACGTAGCTGCACCACATCGACATTTCATAGGGGTTCTTTTTACCTTCTCTACGGACTGCATGTACTAAAACATCAGAGGTAACTGAGGCACTAATTTGTTGATAAGTTGACCTCATTTAGTCTTTGTGAATAGTCTAAAGGAGTTGTAAAAGTACTCGTTGTCCATTAAGTTCCATCGAGGTAGAACGGCTAACACAGATAGGAACTGCCTAATGACCCATTACGGATAGGTCGGAAGTTTTACATCGAACTAATTCACAATTTCTCCCGATTTCGGTCTCTAGATGAGATCTGAATTGACTAGAATTGCTTCTGCCCACCTGTCCATAATGATTTGATTAAAAAGCGAGAGGCTTACAAAGCTTTGTGCAGTAGATGTCCTTCCGATGTCTCTGAGATTTTCGCTTTACTTTGCCAATACATTCAATTTTTGACGATCATCGTCTTAAAGGCATATTCTGAGGTAAAGAGAAGTAATGTTGGATGGGAAGGAACAATGGACACCATATTTCAAATAAGCTTTTACCTATGGCACCATAAATGCATATCTTAATGTAAATGGACTGCATGGGTGAGGTAACATTCATCCCTAA